AAAAAAAAAAAACACACACAAAAAAAAGAGCAGTTTCTTCCCTCACAGGTTCACCTTACCACCAGGCTTGCTCTCTGAACTGCTAACAGCTGGTTTCACGCATTCCCTTTCTAACAGGCTGCTTCTCTTAACTTTCCCCAGCTGACCTTCAAGTTGCCATTGTCTAATTCATCTTCTTCTGCTAGGGTGAGGATGATGAACCACCCCTACTCAGCTGGTTTCTCAATAAGACTGCACAACAACTGAGTAACCAAAATGCTGAACAGATACAAGCAGGAAAAGTCACTGTATTTTCACACTTGGTATGTCCAGTCACCCTCTCATATTGTAGAACATTCTTTTAGCAGACCAATGTCACCACGTCTTTCAATCTACTGCTCCAAAGCCTTAGAATACGGATTCCCTGTTCCTCAGAGGCCTCACTAAAAGCATTTTACCAAGATGTCTTGACGAGATTTTGTGCCTTCCTTTAAAAACAAGAGTTAAGTCTTGCCCCCACTGTCAGAAGCAAAGTCTTACAACAATCAGTGTGATCTACCTCACATCCCAGAAGTATTGTGGTTACCTGTTGAATCATCAGTTCAGCCATTTCCAGCTTCTTATGCAAATCCTCCATATCCAACTTCATAGCTGAGTTCTTGGAAACCAGGGAGTGAACTTTCTCTGACAGCTCTGAATTCTGCTGCTTTATTTCCTCACTAATTTTGCTGAAAGAAGCAAACAAAAAATTAAAGTGGCATCACTATATGTACTATGAGTCTGTTGATGTCCATGTCATAAATTTACAATCCAGTTCTTCATAGCAGCTAGAATCACAGAAACATCACATCTAGTGACTTTTTTTTTTTAACCAACCTCCCAAGTCACCACCTGTGGTCCGTGCCCTTTGTTATGTTTTGTAGCTCTACTGAGAAGAGTAGTGTTGCTCCGCAGTAACAAGCAGAACAGACTTACCTTCGTTTGTACAGTTCCAGTTTCAGGTTGTCTCGTTCCTTCACTAACTCTTTATTATGCTGGAGAAAAAGAAAATTATTGATTCATCTACAGACTTCAGCCAAACAAATAAGATGTTAAAAAAATACGTCATTTCACCTTTGGCAGATCAGCTGAAGTGGAACAGGTCATAACTTCGGCAAAATCCTCAGGACAGGTTTGCTTAGAACCTCCTGAATTTGCCAGGAAAAAGTCTTCTCAGTCTTTTCAAATGTGACGCTACTAACTGAACATGAGGTTATTTCTGCAAACTTCTGAATTAATACCAATACTAAAGTGTCTGTTTGATGGAGACCCTCCTGGGACAAGGTCTCAGTGAGGCTTTTGTTGTGTGGAGCTGGCAAGACTAATGAAGTAAGGTGCCAGATCTGAAGACAGCAACTAGGCTGTATGATTAGTGGTCACAGAAACCTGAATGAAGTTTGCCTTGATCATGGAGAATACAGGGCTTTACAAGGTTAATTAACAATTAACAAGGTTAATTTCTGCCTCTTTTCTAAGCAGGGACTACAGACTTTGCAGTAGTGCAGTGACAAGCAAATAGCCAAAGGCAGAGCTGCATAAAGAGAGGTGACTTACCTTCTCTGACTGTTTTTGCTGCATAGAGATGGAGGACAAAGTACGTTCTAGCTCTGATACCCTCTGGCGAGATGAATGTAAACGAGCAGCAAGGTTTTCAGCTTCTCCTGAACAAGTCAGAGCAGAGTCAGTCGAGGCTAGACCACAGAGAGTTTTTTGGAACTGGCTGAACAGCACTTTCTACTTTGTCAACAAGTTCTTAAGGCAGCACAGAGTTTTGTAAATCAGTGGACCTGGTTCCACTCCTGGCTCTACAGGTGATTCACTAGCAACTCTGGGCAGTAAAGCTCCTGTAACTACCTTCCTCACTTTTCGATGGAGGTGATGAAACTTCCTTTGCAGAACAATAGACAATATGTTTGTTTGGTTTTTCTAATAGAATAAATTGATCAAATTTAGTTCAGAATGAAAGGCTCGGGTAAAACCTACATTAACATGACAGCTGTGTGGGAGGGAGGGTGGAAAAAAGGGAACAAAGTTTTATAAGAATCAGAAGAAAGTCAGAAAGGAACAGTCTGGGGTAGTCACCAGGCGCAAACAGGGCTGACAAGGCTTTGGTAATGCACAAAAGAACCTCAACCGCCATGGGATCAGCATGGTCCCATTTGGGGGTAGCTATGATGACAGAAGCAGTGACAGTGCCAAGTATTGCTCATTAAGGAGTCAGTGAGTGTTGTGAGCTGGCTGCCAGCAACTATCATGCCTGTGACTTGAAATCCACAGTTTAACCAACAGCTTGAGCTGGAGTGCTCACAGTCAGTTACCTGATTTCTGCCGTGCAGCTTGCTGAGTATGTCCAAGGGCTGTCTGCAACTCAGACTTCTCAGAAACTAGAATTCCAATAGTCTGGATATGAACCTTCGGGAAAGGAAAATCAGCTCAGTGCAAAACTTCTTTGCTTGTAACTGCAACATCACTGTTGCCACAAAAGGATAATTCAGTAAAGAGCTCTTGCAGTTAAGTACAGTCTGGCTGACTGACTCTCCCAGTTTTCCTGAAGGAATTGACTCATGGCTTCCAGGGTGAAGACTATGAGTACTCAGTAATCCAGAAAACAGCAGAAGCCAGGCGATATTACTGTAATGGAGGCTCTGCCTTACCTGTAGCTGTTCCCTCAGTGCTGCTTGCTCTTTAGAAAATTTCTGTTCAAACTCCTTCTTTTCCTGTATAAACAAATGATGCCTACTCAGCACAAAAATGTAAATAGTTAACCCTTGTTGCTTTATGTCGCACTAAAAAAGCAGTGATTCATTGGTGATACTTCCAGCATCTAAATGATACCAGTATTTTTAAAAACACACTTCAGTCTTCCATTATTTGAACTCCATTATTTATCCATTCTAGAATGGCAACAACTGCATAGCGCAGTCACTGCTAGCATAAATGTGGCAGTGTTTGGAATGGAAGCTACTGGCAAGGATTTAAACTGTAATCTCCTGCCTCCACTGCACTTCTCCAATATTTGAGCATTTAAATATTAGCTTTTGTCAAAATAAGAACACTACCTGCCAGGCCTAACTCATCAAGTCAAAATATTCAACCTTATGCTACAAATGAAACTGCATCTACCATAAGACAAGATCACACATGCTTGTGCCACAGTCCACTATGCTTTCTACTCCTCAGAGAAACAGACACCTATTTCTATATCTATCCAAAAATAGGACACACTTTACCTTCTCCAGCTGATTCACTGCTTCTTGGTTCTGCTGTTTCTGCAGAAAAAAAATTGATGCACCGGTATTAAGAGAAAATATTCTCATACTGCTGAAACACATTTTCACTTTAATGAAGCAGGATACATGCCCAATTAATGCAAACAGAATTTCCATTATCTTTTCTGTAGAAGACTAGGAAGTTCATCTCAGCTATTAAAAAATAATAGATTTGGGGCTCCCTGCACTAAGATACTTTATATGCCAGATATGTTTTTCATTGCTCAGTACATTATCACATTTCTTCTCCAATACCACTACTGACACCCCCGTATGTTTGTGTCTGAGCATCCACCAACTTCAGTTAAACGTGCATCCCACATCTATGCAATTAATTGTAGCAATCCTGGTGTATTACGATAATCACAAAAAATGCTTAAAAAAACCCCCCAAAACCCCACACATAAAAAAAAAAAAAAAACAAACAAAAACCCAAACAAAAAACGTAAGTCTTTTCCTTTAACTGAGACCTTAGACCTTTATCCCACTTAACAACTGGCCTTTAAGTCATGCAGAGCCACACTTATGTTGGCAGGCTTCTGCAAAAGGTGGTATGAGAGAGCTGAAGCCAAATGCAATGAAAAGGGATAATTCCGTCCTAGCCAATTTCAATCTTATATGGATGAAGTATGTGGACATTTCTTGACCATCCATAGTGCATCTTTAGATACGAAGTGAAGGAGACAAAAGTGCCAGCAGTGTACCCAGGCTGCCACACAAACTGTGCTGCTGTGTTTGCCATTTGCTGTTGTTGTCCCCCTGGCAGTTTGCTCACAGATGCCTCATGAGTAACTACATAATTGGTACTTCTTCCCCCTCCCAAAGAATGAACATTGGCCAAGCTGTTTCTTTACTACTACTACTTCAGTGTATTTTGAAACATGACTACAGATGGAAGAGTGATGAGTTAGAGGTTTTGATTCTAGCAATGCCAGCGAACAATATAACTCAGAAAAGCAAGGGCCCTACATAGTTCCAAGCAAACAGAAAAGCAGGCAAACAAGGAGAATCTTGGGTGGGCAATGCACTATACCAGGTACCTCTGCAGCCCAGCTAAAAGACCAAAAAAAACCCAGAACAGAACAAAAATAACCCAAAACCAAAATTAAAACAAGAGGGGTCATGGGGTACACTGGGAAATGCTGAACTTTGGGAAAAGCGTAGTTTTAGAGAGGAACAAAACGGGGAAAAGTATTTCACACAAGAAAGGCTCTTTTCAGACTGAAACAAGTCCACTTAGCTGCATTTCTTGCAGTGTTAAAGCTGAAGGCTGAAAAGCAGCAGCGGGAATCCATGCAGGCCACAGGACAAAGCAGTTCATTCATCGTGCCAAAAGAAGCTGAGGCTACGATCAGAAACCAGCCCCAGGCTCTCTCTTAGACCTATTGCTCCCACTCTGCTGATGTATTTAGAACAGCATCACCACCTGCAGAAACAGGTTTTCACACTGCTGCCAGCACCAGAATTCTGTACTTCAAGGATTCAGACCAGGACCAGAAATAGCTGTTTTATCAAGATGCTTATCATCCAGGGAAAGCATGACGAGATCAACAGAGCACACTTAAATGGAAACAGCAAAACTCTGCTGCTTCTTCCTCAGATGAGCCAATACATTCACAAGCGGCCTTAGACTTTGATCCTCTTCACAGGTTTTCCATACAGCCTATTTTGTTCCTTACAAAGTGCTGTGTAAGCAGCCTTCCTTGTGGCACTATGAGAGAACCCATAACCTTGCAGACACCCAGAGAGCATGGAGGAGCAGCAAAGAATTTCAAACTGGTTGGTTGGATTGTTTCTTACCAATTCCTCTATCTTTGTAACGAGCTGTTTGTTAGTTAGATTGCTGGAATCCAGGGCTACTGCCAGCTCCTGGTAACGTGTCTGATGGGCACATGCAGATAGGAGAAAAAGGAAGGAGCCAAAGATGAGGAGGGGACAGAAAAATAAATATCACAGTTTGGTATAATCAGATTCTCCAAACAAAACAAAATCTATGGTTTCAACAAAAGCAGCTGGGACATCAACATATTTTATCCATTTCTGCTGAGGCTTCATTTTGACATAAAAGTGAATGAGAAATAAGAACTGCAGTTGCACGGAAGCCAGATTATCCCCAGTCCCCAAACTGGAAACACCTTCAATACCTCCCTCCTACTGTTGATCACAACTACCCCATTACAGCACAAGACATCACTAGACAGTGATGTATGTGAACTGTGCATTCAATTAGGTCTCATTAATGCTGCTGTAAGCACAGAGTCCCAAAAAGTGATCAACAGTCGCAAATAAGAAAGAAGAAAACCAAAAAAAAGGTAGACTGAGAACAACTTACTTCCATTTCCTTAATATTTGTGGAAGAAACAGCACTTTCCCCATTCACATACGACGTAGACTAGAAGAAAACAAGTCAGTAAAAAGTCAGTTTTATTCCCTAAGGCAACAAATCACAATCAAGTAAGAGCTGACTATCACAATACTACTTCTTATAGCACCTTTCACTTCAAATTACCATACACAGGCACAGAAAAAGTACTCTCTGGCTAAGGATAGATGCAGACTCCCCCTGTAACAATCTGATTTGAATTATGCAGATTGACTTCAGGTTCTTTTCCACTAAATCAAGAATACATCTTTCCATGAATACATGCTGTTCATTCATCCCACTCTGCTTTTCTTCCTACTGCTGAAATTTTACATTCCTAAAACAGGATTTTTTACTTCTCAATGCTAAAATATCGTATTGTTTAGTAAGATGACTGTAGACACCTCTGAGATTGAAGAGTGTTTTCTTGAGCTGACTGCTTAAAGCTCCACATCAAACATCAAGAGAATTAATAGGACAAACGGATCAAAACGAGGCCATACCTGAGAAACCAGGCCATTGAGTTGTTCAGACAACTGGCGGAGACTTTCTGTTGATGAGAAAGACCTGGCAACAAAGAAAGACCTTGTGATTAAAATTCCTCCCAGAGAACGGCCCAATCCAGAACAGCACTGGGAAGGAATAAAACCTTAATTTGTTGGGATTCTGTTGCAAAGCTGTTTGATAAACAAACACAGACACTCACCTGTTCTCATCCAAAGCATTTTTATGATCCTCAGCCTCATGCATCTGTGGATTGAAAGACAAAAAACTTACAAGCCTGTAAAAGAAGATGGGAGTCACATCTGTGAATGTGTCACTAAGACTTGATTACATCCAGGCTCAGGTTCCACAGTACCTGTAATTACTGCTTCCCAAAGACAGATGAACTCAAAACCACCAATTCAGTCCTGGCTTACACATAACTTCTGAGTGGTGTGAGCCTGGGTTTCTTGGAATGCCAGTGTTACAGGCTTTATGTTTGCTGTTACTATTTATCAGTATAATCAACATTTTGCTTTGCTGGATAAAACTTTGACTGAATCTGTAAGTAGTGAAAGGAAACACTACTTCTGTCTTATTAAGGGTACTTTCTGCTAATGAAATAGGAGAGAAGGGGAAGGAAAACAGCTTTGGAAGACACGGGGCATGTGCATGCTAGTACTCTCTCTGCTCTCACAGACAGATGATGACTAGATGGAGAGTGGAGAACGTAGGATTTTTAACAGGAGAAAATCTGAACTAGTCATGTCATATTTATGAAGATTGTCTCTCTGAAAAAAAAAAAATTGTATCCCTAACCAATATTCAATGGTTCGATAGCAATATTCATGATAATTCACAAACCTGTGTCAGCTGCATGCTCCCAGGAGCAGGCAGAACAGAACCACAACTAGGGAGATTGTTGCTGTTAGATAGCACAGGGACATCAGCAGCAAGCTGTTCAGCGTTACGAGTGGCAACATCACTGTCAAAGTATGCCTGTCACAAAACACATCACAGGAATTACAGCCTTCATGCAAAATGAATGAAAACACACATGAACACATCACTTTGTGATCTGCCTGTGAAAGTTAGACAGATGTGAACAATCAATCATTTAGAAACATGTGGAAGGGAATCTGTGTTCTCCCCAGAGCAAACAGGTGACAGCATGAGCCCACAAACACCATCCCAGACCTGTGCCCTCAGAGTCAGTCTGAAGAACCAGCATCCAATAATCCAACTCGCTTCTTTAACATGGGGCAATAATGTCACCCAACTCTAAGTTCACACACTAGATTTAATGCAAAGGATTCACCAAAAAGTGAGCGAGGGCAAAGCCAGATGACAGTCACTCTGCTTTGAAAAGCACTACCTTCAAGATGTGTCTGGGGAAAACACAGATCACTGAATGCAAATTGAGATGGAAAAGAACAGGTTAGTGACTACTTGGAAACCGGGTTAGTCAAACTCAAATGCTCCATCTAAAACTTGGTGAAATTTGTGGCATGCCACGAACCACAAGTTTAGGAACAGGATATTTATGAACAGGCCAAACTCAGCGAGGCGGGGAACAGGTCCCCGTGGCCCTGCTGGAGCTACGAATCCCATGACTAGAAGAATCTAAATAGAAAAGAGAAGGGCCAAAAAACTGTATCTGGACAGCGATGCAAATTCTCATCCAGCCTTCATTGGAGGCTGAATAGCATCTGATGACACCTCTGCCAAGCCACAGTGAACTGGACAATTTCATCTATCTTGTACGGCATTAAAGAGCCATAAAGGCTCAGCCCGGCATTCTACTGTTTTATGGCAATTTGTTTTATTTCATCATCCAGCTCCGGTAAGTCATCATTTAAAAAAACTACGAAGCAAATGAGATAATCTTTCAACATTCAACTCCACCAATATATTGCAGCTCTCTGCAATTCCAGCTGAAAGAGTTCCCTCTTTCTTCAGTCACTTCCTTCTTAGCACTTCACAGGGAACAACAAATCTCTCTTTTGGAATTCCCTGTTTACCTGCTCAGCACTTCACTCATGAATCAAGCAGCAAGGAGAATACAGTAACAGTGAGGACAGATTTAATGAAAGCAGTAAGCTGGAAGACCAGAGAGGGAAACAAATAGAATTTTCTCCGTGTCTTTTTAGCAGGACAGATACTTGTGCTCTCAAGGAGCAATATAGGTTAGGTACTTATAGGAAGGTCAGGAATTCCCTTACTTCTTCCAGCTACAGGTTACTTCACCTTTATTGGTTCAGACACACAGCAATATAGAACATCAGAGGGACAGAAGGAATACTTTCACCAGTACATCAGGAATACTTTCCCCAGTACATCTCAAAAATGTTTCCTTAATTTCTTCTGATCATTCTTTTTGCTTAATGCTTCAAGATGCAAAAAAACAGTAACCTGCCTTAACCACAAGAACTCCTTCCTTCTTCCTCCACAATAAGCAGTTTTGAATTAAAAAAAAACAAAACCAGAAATTACTTGAACAGCTGAATTCGTTGGAAACAGAAAGAGTTAGGAGCAAGACACTTAGCTGGAAATTATGCATTGTGAGGCTCTAATACTGTAGAATAAAAAGTTAGTAATTCTGCTCAGCTTAGCATATAGTAGGACCCATTTGCTTTCACACAAAGGCTCCTGTTTTGCTGGGTTTTCTGTGTTTCACAGCCAAGAAAGCTGAAGTGGGTGAGATGGGAGGGGTCTGCCTCACATTAAGACACCAATGGCAGCAGGAGCTCAGATGCTAACGATCAGCTTTTCTGCCCTATTAGCGTCAAGTGCGTTTCTGAGCAGCATTTTCCTGACTCAGGATTTTTACAAGACGGCACCTGGAAAGAGAAATCTTTCTTCCATTACATACTGCAATTAGTTTTCAAATTACACCTAAAACCCCAGACTCAATAATTCACAAATTCCACAATAGCCAATCAGATCAAAATGTATCTCTCCATGCTAAGAAAACAGAGAAAAAAAAATTGGGAAAACAAGAATGAATGGAAGTAATAAATTCCCCATTTTCAGAACAGGACTAAAACTGTAGACACAGGTAGGCCTTCATTGCAAGACCAAACGCCATCTCAGCAACAGCACCGGACCACCCATCTCCATCTCACGCTCCAATGTGAAACAAGTCTCTTTCTCTGAAATCTAACTTACACTGAGCTTACGAGTATTAACTGAAAATAGTCTCCAGGACAAGAATGGAACTTCAATCAAAATACATTCTTTCTGATGCTAGACAGGCACATCCAGCACCCTCAAAGCTGGCAATATGTCTTCACATCACTCAAGTTCTACTGATACGCAACCTACACATACAAAGTCCAGTTGGAGGAACTTTCTGCTGTTTGCCCTGTGTGTTGGACAAAACAGCTGCTGTATTATCACACAAAAAAAGGAGAAAAGGGATACAAAGGCAATTCAGAGCGAACTCCATTCCATCTTGCAGGTTTCACTGCATCTATCTGGTACACTTGATGATTACTATGGTTATATTTATTGCTGAAGACGTGGATATGCAATAAACACAATAATGAGTTACTTTATGACAACTAAAGTGAAACAATGGTAAGGAAATAAGCTACCAAAATGATGCAAGTGAAAATGAGAAGCAGAGCTTTGGTACAACAAAATTGAAAGAAAATTCTGGGCTACAAAATTTGATTTCCCTGAGTTTCTATCACAATTTGAGCCTTATTTAAATAAACTGACTGTCTGAAAGTAAATTTTTTAAAAATGCTGTTTGTGTTTGCTCCTGAATACATTTCTATCGCTTATTGGCATACTTCCTGCCCTTTCCCCTTCAGAAGCTTGGGAACATGAAGACGCTAAAACCTGTAAATGCTTGACTTGAAGTATATGACTTCCTGCCTAAACATAATTAAACCCATGGTACTTGCCAGGCTGTGCATCACCTGTCCAAGTTTCACTGCCTGTCACAAAATGGGTTGGCTGGATTAACTAGACAGGTTACTCTGGGCAGCTGCTTGCCTGGAGATGAGCAGAAACATGCCCTTCAGAAACAAGGCTCTAGGAAATAAAGCAATGACATGCAGAACAGGAGAAATGGAGACTAAGAAAACACTACCTCTTCCTAGTGCAGTTTTCCTCAGCAGGTAAGTTAGTTTATTGCCTCACCCCAAATTCCTGGTTTTCCTCAAAGCTCAGCTGTCTCAAGGAAGAGTTTTTGACAAGGTTCACTTTTGCACATGTTGAGTTCCACACAAACCAGAAGGAAACAAGCACTTACAAGCAATGGAAATGCATGGTAACAAACAGCTCCATGTTAACAAAAACAGCAACAAAACTCAAGCAGCTGACAGTGGATATGTCAGGACAAAATCTGAAAAATCGAGGTCAGTGTAAACAGAACCCGAAGCATGCAGTAGGGAGAGCGGGTCACTGCGAGGGACACGAGCACTGCCTCACCTTCCTCTTGTCCAATAAGGGTATGGCTACCCCATTGGAGCGGTTAAGGTCTGACACCAGCACCTTCAGAATGTTCTGAATCTAAAGGAGGTGAAAGAAAAGGGGAAAGAGAAACGGCTCAGAAAAGGACAGAGAGAAAACGTCAATCAAAGGTAGCCAAAGAAACCAGCATCCTCCAGCTTGTTAGGAGCATGCACCTCAAAACAGCAGCTCTGGACACACCCAGGGTTGCACGACAGCTTTGTACGATCAGACACCGCTTCAGCACATACCCTGACTCTAGCATGCACCTTGCAGTACAGGCAGCTGCTAACTATTGTAGCACACTTTGTACACTGGTGATACAGGCATCTACACCGTTCATCTATCACACCGGCATAACCATTTCCTAGCTCTAGTCATGTTGTTTGGAAAATGAAAGAAACAGGAGGTGGCAAATGATCTGGGAGAAAGAATGAGACACTCACATTCTCTGGAGGCTGCCGGTCATCAGTGGGGGGAGTCTCGGGTCTACTGCCTTCTTTAGTTTTGCGTTTTTTCTTAGCTCCTGCAGTTGCTCCAGGGCTATTCTTCTGCTGATATTCCTTCAACTGCAAAAAACCAATAATCTGAAGTCCAAACAGAATATGCCTTCTATGAACACAATGTCGAAAAAAAACCAAAAGCAAACAAAAACAAAACCCAAACTCCACTCGGTAAAAAGACAGATCAAGGGTAAGGACAAGAGAAACGCTCTTCAATGAGTTTGTTCCTCTGGGGAAAAAAAAAAAACAAAAATCAAAACAAGTCCAGAGAAGCCTAAAGTAAGAACTAATGTGACAAGTTTATGACAAGAGGCTCAGAGTTGTAAATGTTCAACTTTTGTATACAGCTAATGATGTTCTTGGGAAACACATTCATACTCTGTGCTGCAACTAAAAGGAGATTAAAATAAATATTTGGGGTTTTTTTTAGGGTTGTAACTAAGAGCAACAAGGAAAAATTAATATAGGGTAATTAATCCTGAATGCAAAGTGAAAAAGCAGTGCCTGATAGTAAGATCTTCCATTCTGTGAAAGATTTTAAGAAGGAAAATGACAATCCCCACAGACAGGTAACACATTTGTACAGATACTGTAATTACTGTGAACCAAGGGGAGAAGCAATCTATGACTAATTTTTAAAAAATCATACCCACTTTGCCCAGGAAAAGCTAGCCTGACAAGCTGTAGCTTGAATCCTGCGAAGTCTTCCAGCATTTTTATGTCCGTTACTGAACGCCCAAGCCCCAAACCAAGCGAGCCCCGGGCAGTTACATA